GGCACCTCTCCAGCTATCAGTCCAGACTCCATATTTTTGTGGTCTGTGGCGACCCTCCGGTTCCCAAGCCAAGTCCCTACACACTGAGCTACTGCCGCCCTGTATGTAATATAATACAAATTCTAGCATCTAATCCAAGCTACCTCCACTGCTGGGCATTCAGGTTTAACGTTGACGTGATTTGGCACTGTTTCTCTCTGCTGCTTCTTTCCATCCCAGCACCAAGAGGCTCATCAACGATGCCATCATGAACAATGACTTCCTGAAGAAGCTGGAGCCACAGCACATGAGGGAGATGGTGGACTGTATGTACGAGAAGGTTTACACCGAGGGACAGGTGGTCATTCAGGAGGGGGAACCCGGAAACTACCTTTATGTACTGGCAGGTCAGCTCAGCAGAATATGGGTAGCTCTGATGGGATGTCCTCTGTCCCATTTTTAAAAAATGTAAAGGATCAGGGGGATCTTTTTTTTTTTTAGTAAGTAATATATATTGACATTCTAAAATTCAACAAATAGGCAATTTAAAGAATTCCTATTATTATCTCCTATTAACTTAACATTCCTTTTATGATAGTTGCATCAAAAACCTGGTTGAGTATTCTTTGAAGAAAGCTGAAATCATTTTAGCTGTATGTTAAAGCAGTTGTTAAGTACAGTTTCAGTGTGTACCTGAAACTCCATCCATGAATCCATGATGGATGGGACCATGCTACTTCCCAACGGTATCTGTTGGCCATTTTTTCCCTCCAGGGTAGCAAACTCATGTCCCGCCTTACTCTAACACTGACAAAGGGGTTTAATCAGAGCCAGGCCACATTTATCATAGTCGAGAAATGAGGCACAGTTTTAACTAAACCTGTAAATTTAATTTGTTTTCTTAATCATTTACTTATAGATAATAAAAGATAATTTATTTGTTAGTTACAAATACAACTATAGAAAGAAGAGCGATATGTTAGTATATACAGAATAAACAAGAGCCTCACAGAGAGTGCTACAGATTTCTTGACTGAAATATATGCCACGAGAGAGTTTTAAACAACAAATGTTCAACAAGAAACCAAACCCCCGGGGTCTGTGCCTGGTAGACCAACTCAGTAATCCATTCACGGTTAAGATAAGATAAGATAAGACATATTAAAGATACACATTAAGCAACTGCCAGTATGATACCATTCACCCCCCCTTGCGATGCAGTGCAGTTTAACTTAATTTGATTCAATGCGATACAATGTAAAAGAATATTAGTCAGTGCAATTCAATATGGTAAACATAGTTTGATTTTACTTTTTTGGATCTTCTTCATCAGCTTGGGCTACATATAACACTGTTGGTCCAGTTTCTAAACAATAAAAGAATAGGGCCTCTACTAATAATAATCTATACATACATCTGTATTTTACATATTCAAAGATGTTAGAAACGATGCATACCAGGTTCATGGTGAATATTACATTATAGTACGAAGCCTGCTGCCAGTGCATTCTCAATTGTGTCCTAAAAATGGATGGAAGAAGAGAAAACTGATCAAATTACCACTACTTTAGCATGGAATGAGTTTGAATTGTGTTATGTTCCTCACTGCAGAGGGCTTGCTGGAGGTCATCCAGAATGGGAAGCTGCTGGGAGAGATGCGTCCTGGCACAGCGTTTGGAGAACTGGCCATACTGTACAACTGTAAGAGAACAGCCACTGTTAAAGGTGAGTGACAGTAGTATTCCCCTTAAATAACACCAACTCAGTCGCAGCTTTGGGATTACTTACATGCATACACTCCCTGGTGCCTAAAGGTGTATCGTGTGTTTTTGACAACCGCATCCATATCATGTGTAAGACATCTGCTGGCTGTATGGTACATGGGGCAGATATCTGATGCAGTATTCACACAGGGAGTTATTAAATATACTTTTAAACTACTCATCCATTTACTACATACTGTATGGGTGTGCTGGTCTTTCCATGTTTTTAGGCAGTTTTTTTTGTTGTAGCACTCAATGGTTGAATTAATAATGGATGGAAAGCATTTTAAAGAGAGAACAAACTGGCACGAGGCTGATGCCTTTCAACATTATCGAGTTTCGCACACTGTGTTTAGCCACTAGCCAAAAAGCCTAGCAAAATGTACAATCTGGAGAAACACTGAGGTTTACATCAAGGACCCTTAACTATCCTCCATAGTGAGGATGAAGCAGTGGGTTTTAATGATTGTTGATGGTTCCGCTCTCATCCAGCTGTGTCCCAGTCTCACATCTGGGCACTGGACCGCCAGACATTCCAGACCATTATGATGCGGACCACACAGGCCAGACATGAGGAGTACTTCAGCTTCCTGCGCAGGTACAAACACAACCGACAGGCTCTGTAGGCCTATTCATCTACAAAGCAACCAAGAGTTTAAGTGAGGTTGTCAGTGTATTCCAAACTGATTCACACTTGGTGAGTTACTGCATTCAGTCACTGCAATTTAAGGTCTGTCTAAGGTTTGTTTAACGGCATATGCAGGGGTTAGTGATCAGATGGGATTTGGGGCAAATGTTTATGCAGGATAGCATTTGGTTACTATACGGGTTACTACTGGTAAGTGTGCAAATTTAAAAAATAGTTTAGTTTTCATCGCCTGTCTTCTTCTCCTTCTCAAACTTATTTCCACTTTTTCTTACCAACCTCCCCAACCAAAAGTGTTTTATTTTGTGGGGCGGCTCAGAGCGGGTCGTCCCCCAATTGGAAGGTT